GTGGTTGTGCCTTATGAGAAATTCCGTAAATATCTTATGGCTTCCGATTGATGACGATATAACGATCTCGTTTACGTCAGACGGAAAACATTCAGATAGACAGAGCTAGACAACAGAGAGGCAGAGCTAAAAAAGTCTCTGAATTTATTAAGCCTGGTTTTTTTCCCAGGTGATTATAATCATAATCTACACAAATAAATAAAATTGAAGTGTCTGTTTGTAATGTCAAAACTACAGCTTTTTACTAAATGCATATGAAAGTATATACGGTACTTATAACTAAATAACAATTTTTAAAATTTTTGTCTGTCTGTTTGTTCCGGCTAATCTCCAAAACGACAGGACCGATTTTGACGGGACTTTCACTGGCAGGTAGCTGATTTCATACTTAGGCTACATTTTTTTAGAAAAATAATTAGGGTTCCGCGCAAAAATATAAAAAACTTAACACGCGAGCGAAGTCGCGGGAAACAGCTAGTTTACAATAAAATACTACAGTCAAGCGGATATTAGAACAGGTGTCTAAGGTGCGCGGTCAAACATGTCGTGACCACCGTCATAATAAAATGAATTTCTTAAGGCTGAAACTTTATGAACTTTTGTTTTTTTTTATATATAACTCAAAATTATGATAGTCAGTCAACGTCCTACGGGGACACAGCTGGTCAGTCAGCTGTAATGTATGTACGTAGCGAGGTTTATAAGGGTGCAATTCGTTTATTAAGCGTGATTTTTTTTTAGTAACTACTACTGACTATATTATTAATAAATAAAATGGCCTGTCAACCATTCCATAGAACAACGCCCATCAGTCAGTGAATAAGTAATGAAATTTTTTCGCTATTAAGCCTGGTTTTTTCTCAGGTGATTATAACCTGAGAAAAAACCAGGCTTAATAAATTCAGGGACTTTTTTTGGCTCTGCCTCTTGGACCAAGACGGGTAACGGGCAGCAGCGTCAAAAGTGCGAGACGCCCAAATTTCTATTGCGGTCAATCCTCCATTCCAAGTGTGATGGATAAGGCCTATCCTTCCTATGCAATGGACTTTTACGCGATGATAAAAAAGAAATAGAAGCTACGTCTAAACATTATACGTCTTTTTATGCTGTTATTTTGAACAGGATTTACTACTGATATTGTAGTAAAGTCTGTTAACTTAGATATAAGACGAAACAAGAACGCGTCAACTGACGATTACTGATTGAGAAATTAACACGCTCAACTTTAGCTTTCCTGTGAAAGCGGCGGAACGTGGTAGAGCCATGTTGTAGCACGAATGGGTCGGCTCGACCGGGGATGGACCACGCACTCACAGAATACTAGCGTAAAATGGCAGCTTGACACTGCTGTGTTTCGTATGGTGAGTGTAGGGAACCGGAGACCCATTTTACTGGAAAAGAGGCATTCCTCACGGGTGACGACGCATCTGCGTTTTGATTCTTTATTGAGGATAAATGTAGCTATGTCTATGGGTCACAGCAACCACTTACTATCAGGTTGACTGTGTGATCGTTTATCATCCTATCATAAAAAGCGTGTCAATACAGGCGACAACTCAGATACATAAGCCTTTAAAACTATAGAATAGAATAGAATAAGTCATTTATTGTGCTAGTTGTAGGTTTAAGAGATTTAACACTATAAAAGTGTGGCGGGTGGATGGAAAAGGGGAGATCTCCCGCCGGGCAAGGTGTTCTGCCCGGGGAGCGGCCAGCGCTCCAATTGGTAGTTCGGAGCTATTCTATATATGCTGCTTTAATTTCGGAACTTTGATAGCGCGATTTATGCTTCGATGTGTTTCGCTTGTGCCGCGACGACAGCGCCGCCACAAAAATAATTAAGTATCACCACAACCTGCGTAGGCTAACAATATTACTAAAATATAAGGCTTACAATATTATTAAAATCATGGAACTTAAAACATTATCTCATTATTCATTAAATCAAATCAAATAACACGGATAATAAAACATAATGTCATATAATGAAATATATCAACAAACGTGGATAATAAATGATAATGTCAAAAGTACAATGGAATTATGCCAGTATAAGCTAAGTCTATGAATGGAATATTGATATGTCAAAATACATGTAAGCTTATAACTAAGACGTAGTGATTTTAATATTCTTTCCTTAAAACATAATTCAGTAAATATTTCAAATGTCAATTAGATAGTTGGTATACCATCGGATCCACTAGCTTTGTTCACGTCTAGACTCCTCTAGATATTAAGGACCTTCTCGCGTTTTCCGTCCATCCCAGATGTGAACTACAGGCAAAAAGAAACGCGAACAATTCCGCTTTCTCTTAAGATGTCTACCCGACAGAACCGTGATCGACTTGGCAAGAGGCGAAAAATTGAGAAAAACACTATCGATATATTAAAAACATTATACACTATCGGTAATGCGTACAGCAACGGAGTAGAATAATCTGCCAACGTTTGTCTTTTCGTTCGTTTGTCTGGGCGACTTCAAGGCAATATTGAATAAGCTTTGTTACGCTAATAGTGTGATATACATTCATGGCTTCATCACCACTCACCACCAGGTGGGATTGTGGTGAAACACTAGCTTATAATAAATTTCAAAAAATCTCTACTACTACGACTAGCATTATTAGTATCTAGGTTGTTTTGTTGTCGGACGTTTATCTACACTGATAGAGGGGGGGGGGGGGGGAGATACATTATTACATTATTCCACAATATTTATTATAGGATAAGAGTGACAAACGAGCACACAGTGTACCTGATGGTAAGTGGTTGCTGTGGCCCATAGACATCTACATTTATCCTCGATTATAATTCAGAATGCAGATGCGTTGTCACCCGTGAGGACTAAGATGGAATGCCTCATTTCGAGTGAAAAGGGTCTCCGGTTCTCTACACTCACCATACGAAACACAGCAGCATTTAGCTGCTATTTTACGCTGGTATTCTGTGAGAGCGTGGTCCTTTCCCGGTCGAGCCGACCTATTCGTGTTACAACTATACCAGAAATATAGCTGCAGTAAGGCTCTACCACATTCTATCTTTTAAAGAAACCGGAAAAACTTAACTAAATATAACAAAAACTTTGGCGTTACTCACTTGTTTATGTTGTGATGTTTCCATGCTATCCAGACATGAATTACCATTTTAATTATTTATTTATTCATTTATTCTTTATTGCATTCTTTAAAACAGAAGAATACAAAAAGCGGACTTAATGCCTTGGGGAATTCTCTAACAGTCAATGAATGAATGAATGAATGAATGAATGAATATACTTTTATTGTACACCACGAACAAATATACAAATGACATAACAAATATCAGATTATATTATGTACAATTTGGCGGCCTTATCGCTACATAGCGATCTCTTCCAGGCAACCAAAGCTGTAAAGGAATAAAGCAATGAATAGGTAGGTGGTGCATTATAAATATACAACATTTAATATCAATACATGCAATATATAAATAATAAATGCAATAAAATAATATATAAATAACTAATATGTACATGAAATAATATAAATTACAAATGCATAATAAAAAATAAAGTAAAACATATATATATATATATATATATATATATATATATATATATATATATATATAACATATATATATATATACACATATATAAACTTATTAAAACAAACTTACATATCTGCCCAAAAATACATATATAAATTACAAAAATTCCATAAACAATAAAAAAGCTGATAGATACAATAAATACATAATCACACAATCTATCCTAACGGTGACTGAACGATTGAGACAAGTAATGCTCTTTAAATAATCGCTTAAAGATAACAATAGTTTGTGCCTCACGTATATGCAAAGGTAGGGCATTCCAGAGCGTAATAGACTGGACAGTAAATGATTTATTAAAAAATGATATATTGTGAGTTGGCATCCTTAAAATGAATTTTCCTGAAGAGCGTAAAGGTTCTCCTTGAAGCCCTACAAAATTAAACTTCTCCTTTAGATAGGGAGGAGTAGAAGGGTGAAATAATACACAGTACAGAATAGAAAGAATATGCATGTTTCGGTGAATTCGGTTTCGGTGAAACCACTTGAGACGTGAGCGAAATTTGGAAATATGTCATAGGTCAAATTTGCGCAGTCAACCCATGAAGTGGTGAGAATTTGACGTAGGTAGATTTTATGGGGCTGTCTGAGCTAATCTTTGAAATGCCTATACCGATAGTGATGAAACTTTACGAAGAGGTTGGCAACAATCATTACAGTCTAGTAAAATCCACTTCTGAATTTAGGTCTCACAAGGGGGTTACTTGCCATAGTTGCCAGGCTTGGCAGGCGGGTTGGCGGCCGAAGTTTATTATATTTTTAGTTGTTGTTAGGTAGGCGCTGCTGTCCATCTCCTGGTTTGTTTCCCTCTGTTGCCTCTTCGGACGCCCACGGATTTATATGGGGTAGTAATAATAATAAAAATAATAATAATAATAAAGCCTTTATATTACCATACAATTTTCATATGTACATACAAATAAAAAAACAAAATTCCAAATTGTTGTTGTTTAAGACATGGCTCCGCTCCGGGTATAGGCCTCCTCCAACTGTTTCCATTTGTTCCTGTTTTGCGCTTTCAACATCCAATCTCTACCGGCTATTCTTTGGATTTCATAGATCCAGCGATCTTTAGGTTTCCCTTTACTTGTTCCGCTTGGGCCGTCCATTCGGTGACTCATTTCGTCCACCTTACGTCTGTAATGTACCCCGCCCATCTTCACTTAAGCTGTTGTGTGTGTTGTCCAGCATCTACTAGTTTTCCTACAAATATCCTCGCTCTGACGTTTATCAAGGAGCTTAATACCTAGGATACTTCGTTTCATAGCGTGCTGGCACAATCGTATTTTATTTTTTATTTTCTTTTGAAAAATCCATTTTGTGCTCCATATGACAACAAAGCAGCAACCACGAGTCTATTACCTATTTCGTGAACTTTAGTGGGAGTTTGCTTTTAAGATTTCTTTGAAGCTCTAGTATTTCCTCCATGTCATATTGATACAGCGCTGTAGTTCATCTTCGTGTCTTGATTTCGTGAATGAGAATGGTTTCCCAAGATAAACGTAGTCCACATACTCTATCGCTATTTCATTTACTATTATTGGTCTTTGTATACTGTTTGTAGTAACTTTTGTTTTTAATGCATTCAATTGTAAGCCTATTTTTTTTTTGCTAGCGTTGTTTAGTTCTACTACAATTGTTTCCAGCTCTTTTGATGATTTTGCAAATATCATGATATCATCTGCAAATCTTAGGTTACTTAGGAGCTCTGTGTCTATTTTATTTCCTTTCCTACTCCTTTCTAGCTCTTTCTTAATGACCTGTAGCACGGCTATAAATATTTTTTGAGACAACGGATCTCCTTGTTTCACTTCTCTTCTAATGTAATTTTTTGTCCTAGTCTGTCCAACTTCACCATGCTTGTACTCTTCTTGTCTTTGATTATATTTATGTATGTTTCTGGAATAACTTGGCGTGAAAGCGCTTGCCATATACTCTCCTGTGAATTTGAATCAAACGCTTTCGAATAATCGATGTATGCGAGGTAGGGCGGCTGATTAAATTCTTGATATTTTTCTACTATTAGGTCTAGCGTGTATGGATGTGGTCGACAGTAGAGTAGCCCGAACGAAATCCAGCTTGCTCTACTGATTCGTTTGTCTCTATTCTTAGCGCTATTCTTTTTTCCAAACACATTGCGAATAATTTGTACATTATTGGCAACAGGCTGTTAGGTCGATAGTTATTATTATCTGAAGAATCTCCCTTTTTATATAATAAAATTATTCGAGATTCTCCACAGTTCTTAGGGATTTTTTGTACCTCTAGTATTTTACTAAACAGATTCGTGATATGACCTATTAGAGTTTACTTCCCTATTTTTAAGGCTTCATTAGAAATGTTATTAGGATCTGGGCTTTTTTCTTTTTTTTTTTCTCCAATATATCTCTGCAGTCAAAAGGCGCGATGGGTGTATTTAGTTGTATTTCATATTTTTGTACCCATTTTCTTCGTTTTCGCCAGGATGAATGGTAGAGATTCCTGTAAAAGTCCGTAGCAATGTATATTAAGTCTTTTCGCGTTTGTAATTTACCTGTAGCATTCTGTGCTTTCAATGTGGGTATCCATTTCTTCCCAGTACTTAGTTGTTTATAGGCTTTCTTTTGGCTTCTGGTGGTGGTCAGATTCTTTTCAATAATTTCCTTTCTGTAGTTTTCGTAGTCCTTTTTTAACATTTTATTTGTAATTTTATAGAGATCTGTAAGTTCTTTTTTCCCTTCTTTGCTTTTACATGGTTTCGATTGCAGTGCAAAACGTTTTATAAGTTGTTGCTTAGTATCAATATCTTATCTGTTGTCTTATTTTCTCTTTCATTACTTTTACCATATATTTTATTTCCTCCATTATTATAAATAAGTGATATAAATAGTTTATAAACAGAAGTTTGTAGTTGTATTTTTTTACTTATTATAAGCCAGTGCTTAACCACAATCCCACCTGGTGGTAAGTGGTTATGCAGCCTTAGGTAGTAAATCGTGCAGTATTTCTGTTATATATAATGCCCTATTGTGGTGAGTAGTGAGAACACTATTTTTATGTTGGAAACTACAACGGTGTGGTTGGATCTCTCTCCTTTAGGTTCTGTCACTCGTTGGTAGATGTCACTAGAAGCTTCGCTTGTATGCAGGATGAATAGCAATATTACTGTTACGGGCTTGGGGTTCGAGAAAATTAAAAACTGCTGAGTGAATTACCAACATTGTTACTTTAATTACAGAACACTAATTACAACTTAAAACCACACTAATAACAAAACACAATTGTACTACAAATCACTTTCGTTCACAGTTCTATCTTTCGAAGTATTCGCTTGTATCGCCAATTCGAATACTGCCTATACTGGCGTCAATACCGGCCTTATATATGGCCTCAGGTAGTTTCCAGAACCTTCTACTATAGAAAGTTCTAAAATGTTCAAGTACATGTCGGTCCCGATTGACTAGGTGTCGATAGTTCTAGAAAGTTTTTCCATGGAAATTACTAGAATGTTCTTGACTCTTCTAGTTCTGCCACTCGATACTAGAGGGCGCTAGTGGTAACTAGTGTCACCATGTACCTTTTATTAACATCACAATAGTTACATAACCTAAAAATGTACTTATGTTATGCACTTGTTTTTCAGTCCCGCGCATGTATAAATAAGATGTCTTTAAACATAAGAAAATTGATAATTTACATTTTTCTGACCTTAATAAATTCTCGATAATCATCACTATGAAAAAAACAAAAGTTTTTTTTTATAGGAGCGGGGGCAAACGAGCATTCGGCTCACCTGATGGTAAGTGACTACCGCCGCCCATGAACAACTGCAACACCAACTTTTCTTGATAGTCCCTAAGTCGTATCGGTCCGGAAAAATCGCTGGTGGTAATCGATTCCACAAAGAAGTTGTGCGAGGAAGAAAACTTCTTCTAAATCGCACAGTGGTGGACCGCCAATCATCCAGATGGTATGGATGGTATCGCGAGTTTTGTCGCGATGTGCGATAGTCAAATTGGGCGGCTGGAATTAGTCCGAACAATTCCTCAGAGCACTCCCCGTGATAGAAGGGATAAAATACTCATACGATGCAACATCTCTACGCAGTGCCAATGAGTTAAGCCGATCGGAAAAAACTCGGTCGTCGAGGATTCGAGCCGCTCTGCGCTGGATGCGGTCAAGTGGAAGGAAATGGCACTGGGGAGCCCCTGCCCAGAGATGGGAAATGAGTATTCCATGTGAGGCCGAACCTGCGCCTTGTAAAGTTGCAAGCGGTTTGCCGGCATGAAATACTGTTCGTTCTGCTGAGCACACCAAGCTTTTTAGAGGCCAATTTGGCCTTCTCTTCCAAGTGACCACGAAACTGCACGTCACTCGATATGTCGACACCAAGGATCCCGATACTGGCTGAGGCAACAAGGGGAGTGCCTTGAAACTGGGGAGATACGACAAAGGAGTTCTTTTTAGCGGAAAACGCGCAAAGTTGTGTCTTCTGGGGATTGAACTGGACTAGATTTAGTCAACCCCAGTCTGAGACTTTGTTCAACAAAGACTCGACTTCAGACACAAGTTTGTCCCGGTACTCAGCGACGTTTTCCCGAGAAATATTGGCACGGCCGGTGTATAAAGCATCACCAGTGCTGTCGTCCGCATAGCAATGAATGTTACTGGTTTGCAACATATCACTGATATGCAGAAAAAACAGCGTTGGTGATAGCACGCAGCCTTGTGGAACACCAGCGTTAATGGACTTGTAATCGGAGCATGCACCGTCTACTACGACCTTGATGCTCCGATCTGCAAGAAAACTGGTGATCCAATTGCACAATTTCTCGGGAAGCCCATAGGAAGGGAGCTTCGAAAGAAGCGCTTTGTGCCAAACCCGATCGAAGGCCTTCGCTATGTCAAAACTAACGGCCAACGCCTCCCCCTTGGACTCCACTGCCTCCGCCCATCTATGAGTTAGGTAACCTAAAAGATCACCAGCTGAGCGACCTCGACGGAAACCGTACTGGCGGTCACTAATCAGCTGGTGATCCTCAAGGTACCGCATGAGCTGGCTGTTAATAATGGTTTCCATTACTTTAGAGAACAAGGAGGTGATAGCAATAGGCCGGTAGTTGGACGGATCTGAGCGGTCGCCTTTTTTAGGGATCGGGTGCATCAAAGCTGTCTTCCATGAGTTCGGGACTACACCAATGGAGTAGGAGTACCGGAAAAGACGCGTTAGGACCGGTGCCGACTCCGGAGCACACGTCTTCATCACAATAAGTGGGACTCCATCAGGCCCACTCGACTTGTTGACGTCCAGGGAGAGGAGTGCTTTACGCACCGAGCGCTGTGTAAACAGCACTTCCTGCATGGAGCACTCACACCGCGGGATGGTCGGCGGTGTGTTCCCTCCGTCATCTAGAGTCGAGTTGGAAGCAAAAAGAGAGCCTAGCAGATCGGCTTTCTCTTTTGCGTCATGGGCCAGTGAGTCATCCGCCCTGTGCAGAGATGGCAGAGATGGCTGACAGAAGTTCCCTTGGACAGCCTTGGCGAGAGACCAGAATGCACGTGTTCCCGAAGGGAGGCGAACTACTTTCTCGCCAATTCTGCCGATGTGCTCTGACTTTGCCTTGGCAATGACACTTTTTAAGGACCTGGAGGCGGAATTATACTTCTTTTTAAGAGCGCTGGTATTTACATGCCGAAACGTTGATGCGCTGGCCCAGGTTCAGTAGCACTCCTTCTTCTTGCGTGATGCAATTTTGCAGGAGTGACCAAACCATGGCTGATTTCTGCCTCCGATAGGCACCACAGATGATGGAATAAATAATTCCATTCCCTGAAGTACCACATCAGCGACAGAATCAGCAACAACGTTAGGATCATCCGGCGCGAAGCTAACCCAAGGGTAGGATGCAAAAAAAGACCGCATCCTGTCCCAATCGGCCGACTTATAGTGCCAAACACGGCGGCTAGCTGCAGATCGCAATTGCGATTGGAGCGTGAGTGGCACCGTACTCCGGATCAGACAATGGTCCGAAGAGCCCAGAGGGGCATCGACGGAGACCTGATATCCGTTCGGATGAGAGGTCTGGGATCCGCGTAGGCGAAGTAACCAGTTGTGTCAGACCTATGCCAAGGCAAAGTCATAAACAGATCTCCCCGCCTGATCGGTTAAGCGTGAACCGAGCCATTCGGCGTGGTGGGCGTTAAAATCGCCAAGACTCACGATCTCTGCGGATGGGACCTGTTGTAGCACGGAGTCTGCAGCCATTTAGACGTGGTCGATGAGTTGGTCTGTGTCGGCATTACCGCTATGGAACCTATAGAGGCACCCGTAAACGCGGGGATGGTCGTCGCTGTCTACGCGTAGCCATAGGATGGACAGGTCCTTACCTTCAAGACTGCCGAGGTGTCAAAAACAGATGTCCTCTCTGACGTACACGCAAACTCCAGCCCGGGGCACAAACGAGTGTTCTAATTTGTACGCCGGGTAGGAGAGATACGAAGTATCAGCCGGAGAGGACACCTGTGTCTCGGTTAGAAAGAGCAAGGCCGGCTTAGCTATCTCCAGATGGTAGTGGACGGCGTTAAGGTTTGAATGAAGTCCCCTGATATTGCAGAAATCCACGGAAAGCGTGGCAGGGGTTGTTTTATCTTCTTGCTCCGCTTGCCCCGAGCAGGCTTCGTCTTGAGCGGAATTTCGACCCCCCAGAATATGCAGGGCAGCCTGAGCACCCATGCCCAGGAGTGGAGTTGTTTGGTCGTGGATGCTCAGCGAGGGATTCTCCAGTCTTCTGTTCAATTCCGCTACCATATTGATGGGGAGGGGGGGAATTGGGCCTCCGGCCACCTGCACTCACCAAGCGGAACGCAGAGGTAAACCTCTACTTCACGCTGGTATTCTGTGAGGTCGCGGTACCACCCCGGTTCGAGCCGGCTGTTGTTCAGCCGTTACGATGTAGCAAGGTTTTTTTCGCTTATTTAGCACTAGTTATTCATTTTCACTCGAAAACTTCACTTTGTCCTGGTTTTTTACTACACTTTTTAGCGTTCTAAGTGAGTTTTGGTTTACTTTCACGATTAGAAGTAATTGCTTTTCAATTAAAGTCACGGAACCGATGTAAACAGTAGCACGCTGGCATAAAGTACAAAAAGTTAAAAAAATTATTAAAAGGAATAAAATTTTGAAGTTGTTTTAACACACAGTGTATAGAAGAATTACTCCAAATTTATAGGTAGGATGGCTACGTGGCGCAGTTGGTTAGCAATGAGTTGCAGCGCTACGGGCCGCGGGTTCGAATCCCACACGGAACAAGCATCTGCATGGCATACAAATAATTGTTCCGGGTCTGGATGTTTGTCCTTATGAGACTTATGTATATTAATATACAGAAAGTACAGGAGAAAATCCTAGTGTGGCGGTAAAGATTTAAGTATTACTTAATTAAAAAAAAAATTTAAATTGGTTTACAATCAACGAAGATATTGCGAAACATACATACAAGGTAAAACAAAACATACAGTCGTAAAAATAAAATTCATACAATTTCATCAAAGACAACTTTACTTAGAAAAAGCGTTTTCAGTATACAATCTAAAATCTACAATAAGGTTCCATCTATGTTTCATGAAATGGAAAATATTCAAAAATTTAAAAAAGAATTTAAAACATTTCTAATTGAGAAATGTAGTAGCATAGCTC